TGTTGTTTACCATTCTCAGCCAAACCGAGAGGTATCATCTTTAGCGAAAATGCCAAAAATGTATGTGGGGTGACCTGGCCCATGGTCAAAGATTCAGTGCATGCATGCGTGTCCCTGCTGAGGGCAGGGATACCAGTCTGGAATACTGCTATAATCAGCAACCTTAGAACAAAAGCTGAGAATACCACTCTACTATCCAATAATGCAGCTCATAGTTGCTCTCTAGCCTGGTCATTTAGTCATTGACAAAGGAAGTGACAATGCCGCAGTTAGTTCTGAATGGCAGCAGAGTGGCGTTCCTCAGGTCTCGCCACTAGGCCCGCAACGAGTTTGTATTTTAGAAATTAAGAAAAATTCTTTCCTTGCTTAGTTCCCTTACTCCTTGACTTTGTTGCTGTTTGTTTTCGACACAATAAGAAGAATCAGCTCATTCACACATTTAAAGGGGTCATGAACTGGCTTTTAAAATGTTATTATATTGTTGTCTGAGGTCAACTTAAGACGTTCGCTTGGTTTTTGCATTCAAAAACATCAAAATGAATAAGTAATAGGCTATTTTGTACCCAAGTTGTGAGCCTTCATGAAAAACGGTCGGTTTTTATGGGCGTGTCGCACTGAAGACTTGGAAATAAACGCCCACTGCTGTGAGTGGATAACAGTTTTGCATATTATAATGAGTTTCACTCACCCGTCGGTGTATGTGGGGGAAAACGTCCAATGTTGTCAAATGGCAACCGGTTGCCCATACATGTTCGACCCAGAGTCCGTGTGTTGCACAATTCCTGTCAGATCCAATATAGACGGCACAGCACCGTTCTTTACTCTTAAACACTCTGCAAATCTAGTCTTGTTTACAAAACAATCCTCAGTGAAATGAAGCGAACAGACGACGATGTTTTACCCTCATCAGCTGGAACGTCATTAAAAATAAAGTTTATCCATGAAGTCCTATTGGAATCCAGAGGAAGCTTATGCAGCGACTGTCTTCTTCCACAACCAGGCACTGCACAATATTCTGTATTGCTCGGTAGAACGATCCGGTTTGTCATCACGAGGTAGTTTGGCTACTTATAGCAATGCGTGTAATGCGCTAATCGGTGGGCGGGGCTAAACCGGCCGTGTTGAAGTAGGTGTTGATCTTCTTCTGCGGGGGTGGTGTTTTTTTAACCCCTTCGACGTCATAGTTTCCCACTTTTCAAAACGAGACGTGTTCAGAGGCTGGTGTAAATAAAAGCTTTTATTGGACTAACAAGGATGTTTTCAGTTCTGAAACTTACAGGATATTCTTATAATATGATAACCTCTTAGATATCAAAAGCTCAAGGAAAATTTGATTTCTCAGTTCATCACCCCTTTAACAACGCTTTACTCCAACATGATATTTTTTTGCCATTATTTCGCTGTGAACTACATTTCTATTGAATTGCATCCAATAGACTGCAAACTCACAAAATGAATCTTTTGCTTCTGCTTTGCTTTGAAAAAAATGCGGAGAAGGGAGTGCTGGCCTGGTACATACCGATTTGCACATCAATCCTAAGAAGCACATGGTACATTTGTTGTTACAAAGAAAACAAGACAGACACAGGGATTTCCGTAAAGCACATCACATTTTAATGTCTCGTTCCAACTCTTTCTACAGCTCTGTCAGGTTGATTAGAAAGCAGACCTTCACAACACACAGACAATAGTGGCAGTAATAGCACACACATTCATTATCATGAGAACCAATAAGAGAGGGCTGTTCAGACAGGCGGAGAAGTACCCCGTCTGGGCCGCCCATTATCAGTACTCATTAGAACCAGGTTATATGTCCTTGGTCCTCTGTTCTATCATGCCTTTGAACTCAGCTTGACATCAAGGGTTAGGGGGTTCAAGCACAGGGACATTATCTAACATGGAAATGGATATGTATATGTAGATATGTGTGATTTATGTACCTATAAAAGCATGCAACTATACAAAAGAGATACGCCGAGCCCGTGGCCAGACAACAAGGCATTCAGGGGTGAGGAACAAGTCGGAACTGGAATGTTAGTACTGACGGACAGTAAGGTGAGCGGCAAAAGTGTGAGGCAACCGTGAAACTCACAGTGAAGCAAAGACTTTAAAGGAGGAGTCCCAGATGAGGATTGGGGGAAAAGCACACTGGTTCTTGATCAGCTGAGCCATGAATTATAAACTCATAGATGCTGCTTTACATCCCCAAACTGTGCACATGGAGAAGTGAAAATTCTGCAAGTGTGTAAACATGAGGGAACAAGATAAACAGTAAGGTTTTTCATGCTGACCTCATTTGGCTCCTGGGCCTCTGAACACACACGCATATTGATTTCCACAGAGCTCATCCCAGTGATTCAGGCAGTTAAACAGACATTACAACTATGTAATTAAAATAGGAGATACATGACACATATTAACTGACATAAATCAAAACACACACTTCATCTAGCACATCTCTACCAGGGCCATATAATTAATTCCTCTAAAATTAGTTCATAATTTGTCATCGAATTAAATCGATGAAGCAAGTAATTTACAAAGCAAGGGACACAACAGGTTTAACATTCATGAAGAAACCCTCCAATGTAATGTTATGTACAATTAAAGGTGCATTTAGTAGTTTGGAGCTAATTTTTAAACATGAAAAAAATAATTGTTTTCGTAAAGTGTCATCCGAATGACGCACGCTCACATGAGATAAAAGCATTTTAAAGCCCCCGTGAACCGGAAGTTGCAAACGATTTTTCTCCAGTGCTGTGACGTATTTCCAAGTGAAACGGAATATTGAACAGAGGGCAGGGTTTTACTCTAGCGCTCCTCCTCTCCATCTCTCGCTCATAGCAAACTAACGGTTTGAGGGGAGTGGTTAAGCGTTTCCCCACCCAAGTTGTGAAACCTACGTCATCAGAAAAAGAAACCGTTCCAGACCGGAAGTAACTTTTCAGATTTTGATTAAAGATTACCAAGGTAAAACATTTTTTAAATATATATTCACTTGCACGGATTAATTGTTCACCACAAGACTAGTAATATGCGCTAACAAAGTAAATAGGTTCAATTTTGATTTCACGGGGACTTTAAGTATGTATATGCTGTACGGCGTGTACGCTATAAGCGTAGTGTTGTTTGGCGATTCAGAGTTTGGTGACAATGGTGTTGAGAGAAACAAAATATTTTAGACTTTGTAACCTAAAAAAAATTGTAACCTAGGTTTGACTTGTTTGCTGAAATCACATCATGTTGGCCAGTTTCAAACATGCTCGGAAAACACCGATGATAGGCTTCATTTGAAAGCGCCCATCACAACCTACATGGCCGAAGATGCAGAAAAAGTATGAAGCCAGAAGACAAGACAAAAAAACGTGGCATATTACACAAGGTGGGGAAGATTTTCAAAATCCTGATAGTTATTCAGAAGTTGGTTCTTTTCTGTTGGACAGCTAAGGGAGTTTATTATTCTGTTGAAGACTGCTTGCTAAAACTCGAGATGATTGTGCTAAACCACATCAATAGATAAGGCTATTGTGATATCAGACTACTGGATGCACCTTTAAGTGTTACTTGCAATGGAAAACATGGAAATAAAAAGCGAAATAAATTTAAAATGCCACCGCATTAAACCATAATGCAGTCAATCACCCATCTCTTCAACAAAAACTATGCTTTTTGTTTTTACTGAAGCATTTGGCATCATAGCTACTTTAAGGGTAATTCCAACATTTTTTTCCCAACTTTTATCAGAAACGTTAACACTTTTTCCCCCTAAAATAATCTAAAAAACTTCAATACTTGGCATGGTAACCTATTAAACTTTTCCTGTCGCCTTGCCACACTTCCCCTCATTTCATTGGAATAGCTAAGGAAGGGTGGACAGTGTCCTTCCTGTCTTTCCATTCTTGAACTGTTATGATTGTTGTTTAACTGAGAGAGCTTTGCTTATTCTGACACTAGTTTACACACATGAGGGCTCTTGCATAGGATTGGCTGCAGCAGTTTTCTAATGTCACATGTTGGAAATGAGCTGTCAATGACCCTTCCTGAATGCTAATGGCAGTGCAGACTGGAATACAATCAAAACACCATCCTGGACACAGCCAGATTGATACTTCAACAGTTCTTAATGTCAGAACAAGGGCAGGGCTTTTTCAATAATCAAAATCCATGCAGGTGAAATGATGAGAAGGCAACAAATATTTCAATGCAAGTTTATATCACGCAGCAGTTTGAAAGTAACCAAGAGAACAACTTGCTTCTTACTTGATGAAATCTTCAAGTTTGGACAATATATGACAACGGGTTTTAATTAAAACAAAGAAACGATTAAACATGCGTAAGCTCTTTGCTGGACAAGTCCGACTGAGAACGACTACCGAAAAGCCTTACTAAATATCAGAGCTTACTGAGATATCCTCGGCTCACCTGTTCATGTTTCAATATGAAAGAGTGCAATCAGCTGGACGCACATTAGAACAATAAGAAGAAATACAGATTTTCCTTTAAGGAGGGGAAAATGGTGCTGTATAACTCCCTTGTGAGTGCGTGTGAGGGATTGCAAAGAAAATTGAAAGGGATGCTCTGATAAAAGAAAGGGCTTTGAAATATTCTTTCTTTGAAGCAAATAGTAATTTGAGAGAATGTAGTCTCAGCGTAAAATACAGGTGTGCATTTACAGCAATGTTGGTTCGATAGAGGATAAGCTGTGACATGCTTTGATTTAGCACAAAATTGTTATAACTCATCCCTATGTTTGTAAAAAAAACAAATAAAAAGCACGTATATTATGCAAGTATAATGGAAGTCTATGGTGGAAGGCATAGGAATAAATAATAAGTCTAGCTACAAGACTATACACTACTGTTTAAAAGTTTGGGGTCAACAATTAGTTAAAAAGGTTATCAAAAGTAACAGTAAAGATTTATTTATTTAAAATATATTTAAACAAGATATTTCAAATGAATGCTTCAATAAAGAATTATGGGAAAAAAAGTCAATTTCCACAAAAATATTAAGCACCTTTACTATCACAGGAATAAATTAGATTTTAAAATACACGCCAGTTTTTTAAAATTGTGATATTACTGTTATACAATATCACTGCTTTACTGTATTTTTGCTGCCTTGGTGAACAAAAGAGACTTCCTTCAAAAACATTAAAAAAATCTTATCGACCCCAAACATTTGAACAGTAGTCCATGTGCTCCTGTCAAGACCATGTAAAGCCAGCAAGGATTTACAGAATGATTTAGACAACAGCTCAGGAATAATAATAATAATAATAATAAAATACAAACTTCCAATTTTTGTAAACATATTTTTTTTTCATTATAAACTGAGGAATGAGTCAAAACAATTATCTATATCAATAGAGAGCTTAACGTGTATTTAACCCCAAAATCATTTAAAATTCATTTCTAAACAAAGGCGGAGAGCGCTCTCTCAATCCCATGGTTTTATTCCTAGTTGAGAAAACCAAAATGATAATAATTGAAATACTTATCACAGCTTCATCAGTAATAAATATGTAAAAATGTTTTCTTTTATGCAAAAGTGAAAATGCTTTGCACAAAGGGAACTCAACTAAAATAAATATTTCTTTCAAAAACAAATCATGACGTCATATATATTATGTAATTATGTAAGATAATTCATCCCTTTATGGTAGGACTTTAGGATTTAAGAGGCTTGCTGGATACCGATCGGTTCAGTTCAGTTAAAGGGTCTTTAATCTTCAGACTTTTCTCATAGGAGCGCATACGACGTGATTCATTTCAGCCACAATAAAACCAGAAAAAAAAAACTAAACGCATCAAATTTAAATGAGGTTAGAGAGTATCAAGGGGAAAGGATCAAGCAATATAGAAAATATAAAACAGGTCAAAATCAATTAAAGAAACAACAGCTTCTATCAAAAGATTGTGAATGTTTATTCTTTGCCTTGCTATTGTTCTCTCTGTATGTTGTTGCATTTCATCAGCAAAGTCCATGTTTGGGAGGGTGCGTTTAGGCTCACATGATTACGCAGCACTTGCAGGGTTGTTTCTCCTTGCTCTTGACCTCAGCAGCGCCCCCTTCTGGCTGTCCCGACTCTCCCGCCGCCTCTTCAGCCTTCGGTGGCTCTGCTGGGCTGCCGTTAGAAGGTGCCTGCTCCTGCATGGTGTCACTGCTGGTGGTCTTGGCATCTCCATCCTCTATGACGACCACCTCGGCCTTCACAGTCGTGCTTTCCTGCCCCAAAACCTTCTTTGTTTCGTCCTCGTCCTCCACGCTCTGGTAACCCATGAAAACCATCGTAACTGGGTTCTCCGCACTGGCCCCGCCCACTTCTGTCTGAGGTGTTGCGGGTTTCGGTTCTACGCCGGTGATCTCCATTACGGGGGTGGAGCCGGCTGCACCTGGGACTACGTCTTTCTCAACCTTCTCAACTTTCTCGGCCTGCCCTCGCTCCAGTCGTGGTGTAGTCTTGCCGCTCTCGCTCATGGTCACTTCATCAGCTTTGTGGAGGAGCTCATCCACCTCGGAAGAGCTGAGCTGGTGAACGCCATTGGTTACTGCGCCGTCCACACTGCGCACTTCATGCACCACTGCATAGAGAAAAATAAGGCACATTTTAGTGATACCCTGACTGACCGCCCAATATCTATTGACATGACACCCCCTAGAGCAATATCGACCACGAACAAATGTGGGTCAACGACAAATTTCAGTGTTCAAGATCAATATTTTTTTTTTATTTTTTTTTTTAAAGTCCTTTATCTTGTTGGTTTCATATGGTTGACTAATTTAATTAATCATATAACTTAATGTAATTGAATAATTTAAAATTATGTTTCGGGAGGGGAAACTAATGGCAAACTAATTAAACTAAAGGTCAAAATATCTGATATTAATTATATTAATTATATCATTAATTATAAGACTTAATAATAGGTTTTCTTTTAATGAGGAATTTACATAATTCAATTATCAGGGCAGTTCGATCATTTGAATATATAAATATATATATATATATATATATATATATATATATTAGAGCTGTGCAAAAATTAATTGTGATTAATCGCATCCAAAATAAAAGTCTGTGTTTACATAATATATTTGTGTGTGCTGTATATAATTATTTTGTATATATAAATACCTATGCATTCATGTATATATTTAAGAATTATTTGCGCTTAAATTGTGTATATATAAATAAATACATAATCTATATTATATAAATATAATTTTATTTATGAATAACACATTTTCTTAAATATATACATGCATGTGTGTGTATTTATATATACAAAATAATTATATACAGCACATAGAAATATATTATGTAAACACAGACTTTTATTTTGGATGCGATTAATCGCAATTAATTTTTGCACAGCCCTAATATATATATATATATATATATATATATATATATATATATATATATATACACATACATAAATTAATCGATTCAAACTAAAGTGAGTGTCATGTCACATCTTTCAGATTATAATACAGCACTCAGCCTTACTTACATACAGCCTTACTTGACAATGCTTATATGAATCCTTTGTGTAAACATTGCAGCACATTTGCCACATATTAAATGCTGGTTTGCAGTAATCAACATTTTTTTTTTTTATAATACTGTGACTTAGGCCTAATCATTTCTGCTGGAAAACCACAATTTATTTTACCCATTGATGAATGCACAGAAAGCATACTGTGCACAGTTAGTGACTACTGTTAGCATCGTCTTTAAAGATTGTGTGCCAAGTGCACTTTAATTGCCAGGAGTGCTCACATGAGTGAGGGGATCAAACACAGGGAAAGAGTGGCAAGCAGTAAACAGAGCAGGAAGCAAGCAGTGCTACTGGTGTTAGCATTAGCAGCTAGCAGCATACGGTACAAACAGATACAGTAAATGAAGTATTGTAATCATTCATAAAACCTTGGAGAATATAGGCTACTTAATATGTGAGTAATTTATAGCTTTATTGTATAACAACACATTTTAACTGGGAAGGGTAAGGCTCATGGCTAAGCTTGGCAACAACATGCCCAAAACTAGCAGTCAAGTTGCAGGGTGACCAAATATGAGTTTAATGAATGATATGGTCGCTTCTTCCGGGAAATAATGATGTGTCAACCAAAATCAGGAGTTTGTGGTAACCCTGCATCTAAAGCCATGTTTAGATGAACTTATTACTTTACGAGAAGTGGTCAGCATTTGCTGACATATCCAGTGTGTTACTTTTATTAAAAAAAAAATTAAGATTCATATGTGCTAATTGACACTATCTCATCCCCATGTGGTTCCAGACCCATTAGACTCACTTTCTTTAGTGGAACCCAAAATACACTGAAAAAAATAATATGCTTTATCTAATCAATAAAATTGTGGCAACATATTACAAGCAATATTATTAATTAAATTGTACAAATTAGAATTAATTAGAATGTTAATTTGATTAACTATTACTCAATTCTAATTTGTTCAATTTAATAAATATTATTGCGTGTAATCTGTTGCCACAATTTTATTGATTAGATAAAGCATGTTCATTTTTACAGTGTAGATGACCAGAAGCTATAAATAAAAATATGCAGGTCTCATCAAACTCCAAAAAGGACAAAAAAGTAACATAGTTCATGACTCATGGCTCATTGGAAAAATGTGCCTGCCTACGTTGGTTGTTGTACTGCGGCTGTTTAGAATTGAAATGTGTGGTGAGTGGCTCTGAAAGGTTAATGCTCTGTTGTGTTCGAAAATAAACCCTAAACCTAACCAATAGTTTTAATGAAAGCAAACATGAGATTAAAATGCATTTGCTGAAGCAACCACACTATTTTAACTTGCTGCTATAGGTCTTTGAGGTCTTTTCTCATGACTCATATTTCACAGGACTCATACCCGAGTGCTTCAGATCGTAAGTGCAGTGCTTTGCCAGTCCTGGATAAGCTATTAGAAAATGTACTACATCAGAAAAAGCCATACATAAGGAGCTCTATGTGACATGCACATCAAAATGTATGTTTACAGCATGCTCTTAGTGTTTTGATGCCGTAGTATTGTGCAAGGAACTGTCTTTATTAATATATAATCTGCCCATGTAATCATAATGTGTTTGAAAAGGAATAAAAGTCTGTGTTTTACTGCCACTAATGTTCATTTCGGCTGGAAACCACAGTTAATTGAATTGGTGCGTTTTAGGAGTTTTGCAAAAATGTAGGCACTTTTTTCACTGATACATGTTGTCTTAAATGTCAAACACCTGAAAAAAAAACATTTAACCCTCACCCTTCCTTTGCACTTTGTTACACATCTTTCCCTCATGGATCAAAATGACCCAAAGCCCTAAAATTATACTTTTTTCTTCTTTTTCAGAAAGCTTATTTTATGTAATTTCAAATTTTTTAAAGCAATTTTTTGAGATTTTTTTTTTGTTGCTCTTTTTATTTATTTTCATTTACATGACTAGATTTGATCAATAACTAGTAATTTAAGCATATTCCTCACATTATTTATACATATATATATATATATATATATATAACATCATATTTCATGACTCATGCCACTAGATGGCCTTATAGTTCTATTTGGAGCAAATGAGCTGTTCCGCTGGGTCCCAAAGTCAGATTCTCTTCAGTACTTATTCAGATACAAATGTAGACATTATTTTAAAAAAAAAAGAAAAAGAAAAAGGTTGCTAAAGTTTTAGCATTTTTAGTTAGAATTTTGAGCATTTTTAGGTTTTTCTTTGTACTGAAGCATTCTCCACATTCCATTCATCCCTAAAGGGGTCAAATTGACCCGTGAGGGAAGGATTTGTTACTTTAAAAAATTCTACCACAGAAACTCGTCAAATCCATAATTTTTTTTGGTGTATTCGTGGTTCAAGTGCGACAAAAGTCCTAGGGTCTTGGACCCCTCTGAAAAACATTCAATTAATTTCGGATCAAACTGACCCAAGGAAAGCATGAGTTAAAGCTACACCGTGTAACTCTTTTAATTTATTCGTAGCTAAAACACTTAGTTCTTTCAAAAATATATGTGCTCATTAATTTATATTTAGTTTGTTCAATTAATAAAGTATTCTCGTGAGTGTATAATATGCCATTGAAAATACATACGGGTAAGGGGTTCTAATGTCGGTCGCCATGCTGCCCCTCCATCTTGAAAGTACATTAGCCAAAGAGGGACATACCCGTTAATTCAAGCTTCGCCTTTCGAATTTACGTTTGAGTTAACACTCATGGACGAGGTCGAACTGGAAACCATGTTAATCTTGGACTACATTGGCCACCGTAGGAGTTAAAACGAAATCGGAATTGAGAGGAACAGAAACTAATATTCATTGGATGGTCATATACCTTTTCACCGCTAGATGGGGGTAAAAATCACACAGTGTAGCTTTAAATATTTGACGGGTTTGACGGCTGAATGGAAACGGTTCTCACATGTCACATGACCCACAACGACACAGCAAACTAAATATGTGAAAGTCAGAACAAATTATGCTATGGAAGAAAGAAAGTCATACGGGTTTGGAACAACACAAGGGTGTAAAGATGACGTTTGTGTAAAACAACATAAACACCAGGTTTGGGCAAATAAGACAAATTACAGCTGATGTTTTATGTAAACATTCAGACTTCTCGTAAAGTAGACATCTCTAGCAAAGCCACGCACGCCTGCTCTATCGCCAGCCACCTTTCTGTTCATCCTCATAGACCTTGACCCCCTGCATCGAGAGCTCTTTGGGGAGCAGTGTGTTAGTGGACAGGACTTTGGTCTTTCCAGTCACCAGGTCCTTCTCAACAGTGATCTCTACGGAGTACATCGCTGCAGTGCCAACGAAAGAACGCATTACAATCCTGCAATGATGTGCTGTCACACTCACATGAAGTCATTTAACACACACACACACACACACACACACACACTTGTTTGGGACCAGTTGCTTTATTTAAACAACCAGTGAAACATGACTTTCAGAGACTGTCTGTTGAGCACTATGACAACAATGACACAGAGTGAGGTGTTGAAAGACAATATGACTGATAGGCACTACATGTTTGTGTTCTAATGTAATTTATTCGAAGTAATATTATTTGGAGATTATATTTTATTATATAATAATCAGAACTTTCTTATAACCATATAAATTGCTTATAACCTTACATATATATATATATATATATATATATGCGCTATATTTTATATTTTTGAGTTTTATTTTAAACATCTCAATGTTAATTTATTTAAAGATTTTCCTAAAATCATGTAATCAGAACTTAAAAATTCCTTATTATCTGTTGAAAATGTTTATAAAAATATATAATTAAAATTAAAAAAAAAATTAAAAATACTTTTAAATATATATATTTAAAAACTTTTCCTATATGAAAAACATTTTTGTACATATATTTTTCCCCAATATTTTAAATATAAAAATAAAAAAACAAATACATATAATTATTAAATCATTTGTTGTATTTTTGCTTGTTTAGTTTATTTTTGTAACTCTATCATAAATAAAAGCCATGTTAACCTAATCCTTTATTAATACAACTTCCAAAAAAAGCAGTTTCAATTAGATGTTATTCTGCTCACACACACACACACACACACACACACACACACACACACACACACACACACACACACACACACACACACACACACACACACACACACACACACACACACACACACACACACACACACACATGCAAACACACATCAACTGAGAGAACAGAGAAGACAAGATTAGATGAAATCAGCACAATATTAGTAAGTTTTTCAACACTGACAATTGGACAATATTTTTTTGATATTTTTTAGTTGGTCTAGTCATCTATTTCAGTCAAAAAACTGCAAATAAATTTAGAGCAAAATTTAGACCTGAAAGCTTTTTTTTTGTTTTCTGACAGGTCTTAGTTTTAATCAAGAGATCTAAAACAGCACCTTTCAGCTTTTGGTCTGTATCTGACTTTAAAACACTGATTCAGCAATCGGGTTTGAACATATTAAAATTAACCAAGAGGCATTCAAGTGATTCTAAACAGACAAATAAGGTTTACACAATGAAACTTTTTTTCCAAATTTCTAAATCTGTTTCTAATTAGACATTAGTGCACTTGAATTTGCACTTGAAAATTCTAAAAATACTATTGGGGTGTATATGCAAAGGTGTTTAGGACATTTCCCTAGTTGGGCAAAGGCACAGTTAAGGGTCTAAAAGGTTTGAGAACTGCAATGACATTAATCGGCTAATAGGTCTAAAATAGAGCTTTTTTGAGCCCAAATTTAACCTTAACTCTTACTTTGTGCCCCTTTCCATCAGTATGTGATATTTATCTCAGAATTACAGAGGTAAAGAGTAAAAACAGCAGGAAGAGTGTGTGATCTCTGCGTGAGCTATGGGTGGACTAACACTCACCTGCTCTCATCATGTCAGAGACACCTCCGGATTTCTCCAGACGAGGGCTGACGTGAACTTTGACCTCTAATTAGGGTCATGAATGAGGACAGAGAAGGACAGAGAATGATAAAAAGGTATAAGAAGTGAGAGTGTGGAACAGGAGGGAGAGGGAGGATGGGAAGGAGTACTAGACACAAGATTGACTGTATTGTCCTTTGGATACATGACAAGGGTAACTCCAGAAACTGGCCTTTTGGCAGTGTAACTTATAACTAGTTGTTTTTGAGATTTCAAAGAGCGTGGAGAAAGAATTCTGATCAAATGTTGATCACAAAAAGGCTGTCATTAGAGGTGTTTCTGGTGTCAGAGATGGTGATGTTACCTTTTACAGATTTTACAGAGTCTGCCACAACCTGAAAAAGAGAGGGAAAAAAACAAGTTGATCCAATTATGTTTGTATTAAATATGAAATATCCAAATACAGTCATCTGTCAAATAAATTACTTTGCTATCTAGTTAAGTTTTTAATCTTTTTTTTTTAAATGAATACATATTTATAGTGCTTAATGTTGTCTTGTATTACCTTGATGTTTCTAATACAATGACAAATTTGACTTTTTCTTTTTTCAAGTTCTGACTGCTGTAATCAATCTCTCGATATTTTTTCCCTCTTTTGGAAAGTTTTCCTTTTTGTTTTACAGAAATTATACTAGTTGTCATCTCCCATGTTTAACTATGGAAGTTTACCCAACTATGATGACTTCTGCTTCTGAGAACCCCAGAAATGTCAAAATTTAGATATAAGAATAAGTATATGAAATAAGTATAAACCATTTAAATATATATATTGTGTAAAATTATGACTGCCCTGTTAACTTCCTGAGGTGTCATTTCCACCTCATTTTTTTTACTCTACTGTATTTGTTTACCAATGACTCTAGACAATTTCAGTAAAGACAAGAGCATGCTTGAGGTGAAATATGAGATATGTAATGTGTGAAGAAAAAGAAAAATCAAGCTACCTGTAAACACTGTATAACGTGTAAGCTTATTATAGGTATTTTCCAATCAAGCTGTATTTAGTCAAATAATATTTTATTGTGCATACACATAAAATGCTAGATATACAAGCAGCCACAATAAGACAAAGAGTCAGTCATGTGATACTAAAAATGTTTAACATTTCAACCACCATCATTTCCAGCACAGAATGCTATTTAAAACAATACATAATTTGAGATGTGGGAATTTTCATTATACGTTCAGAAAAAAAAAGAGAACTTTGTCATGTGATATGTATACTGTATACTCTATTGGACATTGTTAAATAAACATTTGTAAAACTAGTTAGTGTTTTAAGGAATTTTAGCTTTTTAACATCTACCCATAGATTAATACACACTTCAACTGGTAAAAAAAACAAAACAACAAAAACAAAAAACATTCAGTTTTTCCATTCTAAGGGTTTCTATAGAAAATGAACATTTGGCCATGAACAACTCTACGGTACTGTTTCTTAATTCTCAAAAGTAATAGCTGGGTTTCAGTTAAGTGATTATGATGACGTGCAAAATTCAGATGGAGGGCAGGGAGTGAAGAGCGCAATGGATGATAGTCCATACTGTACTACTTAACACGCTATTACAAGAGAAAGATATAAACAAAAAAATCAAACGTGGATGTGATCCTTATTTTATGAAAAGGAGCGATTTACGTGCCATCGAGACGGTAGATATCAGTAACTACCTCGTCTTACAGACATACTTTGACTTTACAAAGTTCGGAAACTGATACGTTACACAAACATAGCCACTTAAGTTGTATTAACTCACCTTTTACAAAGTGATCACTGCACAAACGGGCATTTTCCTATTCGGCTCCCCCCGACTGCAGACGTAGGTTTGCAAGCCGTTTTTCCAGAGTTTTTCAGACAATTTCTTACATTTCCCCCCCTTATGAACAACAACTTTTGGTACACGATTAAAAACTCCTCGTGGGTTGATCGATTTAAGTAACCGTAAACAATGCAAAATATAGGCATTTTGAGTTTGTTTTAGTGCTTTCTAAATACAGCAAATCACTTCCTGCCCTCCATTTGCATTTCGCGCCATGGCAACGCAGTGGCGTGACGTCATATGAAACCCAGCTATTCTGGCATACATGAATTTGGAAATGTATTAAAATGAAGACATAAACTGTAAGCACTAGAGGTCAACATGCACTGGACAGTGACATGATGTTCTTTAGAGGATTCTGACCACAACAGAAAAGTCCAATCAAAGAAAATAATGTGTTATTTTCACATTGCTATGGAGTTCCCTCCGAATGCAGAACAATAACATTTCCAGTGAGTGCAAAAGTCAGTCAGTTGTGAATGTTTCGAGCATGCTGCTTGAGTGAGACAGATTTCTGCACTTTAAGCAGTGATGCCCTTAATCAAGATGGCCTTTGTGTAGCCAGACATGAGACGGCCCCCTATTGTGTGTCATGCTTCAATAGAAGCCTTGATATCTCCTGCTGCGTTTTATGGGTTAGAAAGAGCTGCTGGTCAGAACTCACCATTTTCTCTACTGTCATGGTGTTGACTTCCTGTACTGCGTCTGACAGGTTCTCTTTGGTGGATGTTGCAGACAAACCTGTCTCTAGCACTTCCAGCTCTCTTTCCAGTCTGGGTTAATAAAGGGAGAGACAGAGGAAAATAAAAGATGGTCATTAAGTATATTATTTTATATAACCAATCACAAGTCTTGCAAAGAAAATAGCTTACTTAAGCGTTGTAAGATAAGGTTTCGTAATGGGAATGGTTTATCTTTAGGAAAAAGGAAAATGTCATTGTTTCTACAATTAATAATATTCATTTTATACTACGGGGCAGTGCAATGCTTGAATCTGATTGGTTAACAAGCAAAAAACGCATGGCTAAAGTAGTTCCAGGCTGATCTTAATCAAATTACATAAAAGGTCCATACAGCCTACAACAGCAAAAGAACCAAAACCCACAACGACACTAGCCAAACAAATAAATATAGTATACAGTAAACAATACGCTCTTAAGAAAAATGGTTCTAAACAGTACCAAATTAGGGAACAAGACACTTTCACAAAGTTAAAGAACCTGTAGCAATTCAAATCTGTTTTTTACAAATCACACCACACCTTTGTGAGAGGGCCTTTCACACCAGGCCTTACTGGCATTAGCTGTTTACTGGCATGATTCACTGGTTTGCATACCAGTTCTGTGCCAGGAGCCCTAGCAGCCAGAGCAGAGATTTAATCAGGGAATGGAGATCCAAACTGGCTGTTCTGACCCATGCCACTTTTTCACCATTAGAAATAAACTGAGACAAATCACATGAGAAAAATCTTGGCCACTAGATCCATATTACACTGAAAAACAGAGGTAGGATACAGACATCTGTTTACTAGTCCTTTTATTAAAAGTGTCTAGTTTTATAGTTAAATGCAACTCTTTATTGCAATGGTGTGACTGGTTTACCTAAGAATGGTCTCCTCAAGACCTCTGGTTTTGGCCTCGTCTTCCCGCAACTGTTTTGTGGTCTCGTCTTCCTCCGGTCCTGCAGAGGGCGCACCGTCTAGCAGCCATCTTTCCCTCAGTGCCTTTGACTACAAGAAAACGCACATTTTCTGTAAGCAAGGAATACTCAAATGACCTTGTGCATTTGTCAAAATGTGCCATGTAAAACAGAATATACTCTGCGGAACATTGTATCCCATAATCCAAAGTTCTGTGAAACAATGTAACAAATGATATAGAAGCAATCATAGCCTTTTTTTTATTATTCATTGATTTTTTTTTTAAGTGTTTCCACCAAATGTCATTTTTACTCACATGCAAATTTGTATTTTATTTTTTTCTGAGTGGTCAGTTATTTCATTTGAACATATTTGAGCATTTATTGCTGCAACTGACCAATCAGAATCAAGTATTTCAAGAGAGGTATGCAACAATGTTTCACATTGTGTATGTGTGTGTATATATATATATATATATATTGTATGCAGTATTCAGTATATGGTATACAAGTAATCCATGTGGTTGTATTCCATTTTGAACACAGCTAAATAGACTACTGGTGGTTATCATTACAAACATTACATATTTTAATGAAATAGGAAAAAGTCTCCAATGCTCAACAAGGCAACATTTATTTAATCAAAAATACAGTAAAAACAATAATTTTCTGAAAAATTACAATTTAAAATAATCTATGTTTAAATATTTTCTGTGATTTCAAAGCTGAACTGTCAACAGTCATTATTCCATTTATCAGTGTCACATGACCCTTCATTCTAATATTTTGTGCTCAGCTATCAATAAATTATTACTGAAGCTCAATGATTAATAATGATTCTTATTATCATCAACGTTAAAAAAACATTTTTGAGGAAACTATGATATAATTTTAATCTATAAAGATCAAAATAATAGCACTTTTTTTAGATGGAAATGTTTTGTAACATAAATATCTATACAAAATATTACACCCCAAACCGTTGAAAGATAGTGTGTGACACTGATAACAGAAACAGAAAGCAGCAACATTTTCAACATTGATAATAATAAGAAAAAGAGTAATGGCTGCTGAATGGAAAAAAGCTTTGCCACCACAAGAAAATATTACATTTCAAAATATTTAAAAATAGAAAACAGTCTTTAAATTGCAATCATATTTCACATATCACTGTTGTTTAACTGTATTTTGATCAAATCATTATTGTATATATTCTTTACCAATGCAAACAGATTTAGGGTAAAGATGGTGTTGTTACAATGAAGTTACAATGTTGTAAAAATTGTTATAACCAATAGATACAGTCGGTTGGTCTGGGAACGCCCCCGGGAACGCCCCGTCACGTGGTGTGAATTTAGCCCGTGGGGGAAAACATTGCCTTGGCGCTCATTGAAATACATGGGACAATCATGCCGAAGAGTTGCTGTGTCGTTTTCTGTACCACCAATAAACAAACAAATTATAAATTGAAGTTCTACAGCCTTTCTTACATACATGCAGAACCGGATAGGAGGACAAAATGGCAAAATTAATCATATCGTATTAGATTACTGTGTGAGTAGAGGTCCCTGTGTGATATAGTAGTAGATGTATAACTTGTATTAGGCAGTGGGCCAGATTTGTCTGACGTTACATCCCTTACGAAAAAGAGCTATAGTAATCCTATGGCTATTAGTATTCTATAGTAGTGTATAATACTTCTGTGATATTCTTTAATACCTCTATACTTCTAGGCTATGTCCCAAAATACTATAGTATTCCTATAGGAATATTAACGTTACTATAATATTTTGTCCTAAAATACTACAAGATTCCTTTAGTTGTTTTTCATAAGGGATGTCTCAGTCACATTAGCGTTATCAGCTGAAGGTTATCAGACTGCAGTCTGTGAGAATTCGGATAACTGTCAGCAAAGTCCCTCTGCAACTTCGTAGCTACTACTACTGATCACCGTTTTACAAAAGGATAAATAGTTTGGAGTGAAGCATACGTACAATTGGTAAGTGACATGGTTTTATGGACTTATAGTAACTTATACGCAAGTTGATTGAGTAATAGGCTTGTGTTGCCGTTAGCTTCCGCGATGTCTTACCTGAAGATTCAACCAGATATAATAGTCTGGAAACGACACCTCCGGCCATTTGGTTGGGTCATTGATCCAGTTTTTTATTAAATAAGGGCAATCATAACCTATTACAGTTAATTTTGCAATGTACCGTTGCCGGTCGGCAGGCATAAATGACTCGCAATATGACATTTTTCTCATTCAAATACATAGGATGGTCGCGCTGCTTTCCCCCACGCCGACCACGCCCCCCAACTATGACGCGTTGCCGACTGTACAGTATGTATATATATATATATATATATATATATATATAGAGAGAGAGAGAGAGAGAGGGGGTTCATGCATCAGTTGAACAATGATGATAGTGACACATGTCCCAAAAGAGTTTGAATTATGTTATCTCCAGCCTTTGGAGATCTCCTATGAGAGAAGAGATCTTTACTAACCAAATAGTGCACAGCTCTTGCTCTCAGAGCCTGAATTATTCAGTTAATTGGCACTAAAATCTAAGTGTTGAGCTGGCACTAAGCTGCCTTGGCACCAAACCAACCACTGCTCTGATTTACTCTCTGAAACTGATCTTACCCTCTTCTTGACTCTTATTGGTAAGCATTAAACTATGCCAATTTGTTTGCCATTTACAAACTGCATAAGATGCGCATGTGTATAGGCTGTCCTGTACCCATCCCATTTCCATCAACCATTAAAAAGTCTTCAGCTAAGTACAGTTCCTTCAAAACTTCAGCAATATAGACTGGGCGGGGTAATAATGCTGCAATGCAAGCCTTTTACAGTAGCAAATCCAAATCCAATTTTTGCTGATTTTAGTATACTGCAGTCCTAGCATGAGCATCATTTATGTTGATTAGTTCTTTTATTGCATATATGGATATTTGACAGGCAGTCAAAAAAGAAAAATCATAGATAAGACTGAGCATTATGGAAGTGAGTTGTATTATTTGGTGGCCGTCCAGCCCCTAAAGGGCTCTTGGCATTAACTGCTAAATGCTCTGCAGGCCTCAGACATCCCTGCCTCTCCCAGCTGTTACTGATCAAACCTTTGAAGATGGCCGTCTTCTTCCTTTCTGTCAAGTCATTACATTCTTTATGTGCTAATACTACATTATATATTTTGATTAATGCATAATAGTTCATGGACACCAGTTCTGTCTTCTCTAAGCTACTTCTGGGCCAATAGTTCAGATCTGTTCTTGCCCTTGCAGATTTTTTTTATTTATTTATTTATTTATTTTACTTTTCTATAAAATTGTTCAGCTTTATTTACAGAAATAAAAAAGCAATATTTGTATTAATAAAATGTTATTTTTTATTTTTTTTATTTTTTTTAATTCTGTGACAATAGAGCTGTAGATTAATATTAATGTTTATAATGATGATATGTTGTCATTTTTTTTATAATAAGGAAAGATAATTTATAACCAGATAATTTAAAATTGAAACTTTAAACTTATCCAGCTATAAACATCTGAATATGATCAATGAGCATACATACATAGTAGCACTGGTCTTTTAAAAATAATCACATCAATAAAAGGGTAAGTCAATCATATTTTGAGTATAGGTCATCAGTGAGCATTATTTCTCTTTTATTCTTTACCTTACTTCTTTCGTTTCTTTTTATTCTTGCATCTCCTTTTTCATTTTAGTTTGAACTGCCACCTCCCACTCTCCAGAAACCCACTGTGGGAGAGTATACTGACCACACTCTCTCTCTCTCTCTCTCTCTCACACACACACACACACACACACACACACACACACACACACACACACACACACACACACACACACACACACACACACACACACACACACACACCTCTTCACTGACACAATGCAATAAAAAATACAGGACAAAGCGCAAAAGCGTCTATGTGCTTATAGTGGCAGACCCATTGTTTTCGAAAGTAAATGGATCCAGATTTTTAGGCAACAGATTAAAACAAAGACATTTGTTGGTCTATTAGAGTTCACCACTCTCGATCATGTGTCATGTGAACTGTGTTAACCCATGCCACTAATCAAACCACACCTAACCAATCCACATCATTAACATCCTGTCAGAACATCCTTTAATCAGTCTGGAGTAACCAAATAGCCAATCAAAACAGGGAAGCTTTGGAGCCAAAATACTGACATTGTATGAGTATGAAACTTCATTCAGACACATGGGCTTTAGCAGGACTTGGCTAGGGGCCTAAAACTGCATATCTTCATACCTCAATTGGTTTGAATTGTTCTGTATTTGGACAGAACCCTTTGGCCCCTATCTTAGATTGACAAATGCCTGCTCATATATCAGAGAGCATGTGTTTTCAGGACTCTCAGAGGCCCCTCCATACTTTTGCGACCTGCAGCCCATTATTCACTGGCTATTCATCTCTTTCTCTTTCTCTTTCTCTCCCTTTGCATTTTGCTGACTCTGAATGGAAGCTCCATAGAAACTGCTAATGAGGAGAGTTTTTGGATCTTATCTCTGGCCAGCACAGCAAAGTCTCTCAACTACAGCTGCTCTAAAGTTGTGGAGCTTCAAAACACACACAGAGAAAAAAACACAGCTAGTTTCAACTTCCACAATATTTACAAGAAGGACTGTCAATAATAATTATGATCCAATTAATTACAGCATAATATGAATAAAGCATTACAATAAGAAGAAAGCATAACATGCAACGAAAAAGCATCCACTTTACAATAAAGTCTCTCAGACTGTCTCAAAATAGATTAACACAAGATGTATTTTGGTATTATTGTACATTCGAACCTATGCCACATGAGCACCAATTTTGGTGAAATAATGAGTTAAGTAAATGGCAAAAATCATTATTTGATGTTGTTAACAGTACAGTGAAACTGCAGTAAAATTGCAGTGTTATTATAGTATTATTTATTCATAAGTTTTTATTTTATTTTTTCCAATTTGAAGAAATTTTGTTATTTGCCTCTGTCATTATTATTTAAATATTTCTATTTAGCCTAATTTAGTTTTATTTCAGTTTTAA